ACCGCTGTGATTTTGTTGATGTTGCTCCACAGCGCCTTTCTGTTGCGGGACTCGGTGAGGCAGACGTTTGCTTTTGAGGTTCCTGACATGAAGGGAGGGACTTGGAACAATGGTTTTGGACTTTGTGAAAGGCAGTCGACTGGTTTTTGTTCCTCCTCGTTATTGACTGGATCATGAGGACTACCACCAGCAGAATGAGGCACTGGATCAAGTGGAATTCAACTGGATGATCACAGGTTGTTAGATTAGACCTCGCAGTTTTAATGCCTGCTCAACATTTCCACCCAGGTGGGACTTACGTCACAGATTCTGAAGGTGAGTTGTCTGGATCCCAAAAAGTGGATTCTGTTCATTTGGGCGTAACGTTTTCAGTGGAAGAAATGTTCCACCATCATCCAGGTGGTTAACGTTTCCCCAACTTTATAAACCTTCTCTGGATGATTGAGCATCAAGACACCCGGATGATGAACCCCAAGAAGAAGCAAACTCCTTCAACATGACAGTCCAGCAAAGCCGGGTCTGATGCTGATGCAGGAACCAGTAGGACCTGAGGAGAAATGTTAGTCCAGATGAGGAAAGTCTGGAGCTCACAGACCTGCTGAACTGGAACACAAGCAGGAAGTCCACACTTCCTAAACCAGTGATGAATCCTGTCAGCAACAAGAACCAGCGGCAGCAGACAGAGTGGCGGCCCATGAAGAAGAGGCTGGAGGATGTGGCGAGGATGGCTCGGGCCCTAACCGAGCCTGTGAGGTAAAGGCAGCTCAGGACAGACGACGCACAGCTGACCTCAGCTGCAGCCTCATGTCGTTGGAGCAGGTTGGAGCTGGAAAGAGTCCGCCTGAAGTCCGCCTGAAGTCTGCGTTTTACCAGCGTCTTCTTGTTTTTCTTTATTTTTTTCTATTGATTTTTAAAATGTTTGTGAGCAGACAGAAGCTCAGGACTCGACGGCTGATTTGGATCAGAGCATGCTTGATGCTTCGCTCTGGTCCAAATCAATGAGCAACATCAATGGGAATATCTTACCACCTCCACTCACACAAGTGCAGATCCTCCACCCGAAGAAGCCTGAATATCAAAGGTGCGTGTGGAGGCCGAGGCGCCTGTGTCTGTGCTGAGCGACTGGGCGGTGGGCCGGAGCAGCTGCCTCGCTCGCAGTAAACAGGAACGCTAACTCCAGCACAATCAAAGCTTATTTCCCCAGACATCAGCAGCCCTCATATCCTGTAATTTGCTGTTTTTCATAAACAGATGAGCAGGAGGAGGAGGCGCTGTGGAGGACAGGCAGACGTGCAGACACACAGATGGATGGACGGAGACGCTGCAGAGGGATTTGCTTTCTAATCCCAGCCCTGCTCGTGTGGATTCTCCTTCACTTTCCTTCTCCTCCACTCGGCTCTAATTATCCTGCAGAGAAACAAACTCAATTTGTCGGACGGAAATTTTAATTGAAGCTTCCTTGTGGTTATGATTTTACGGCCATGAAGAGCACTCCGGAGACGACGGCTTGTTATTATTAGTGATAGCAGTTAGTAGTTTTACGCGCTCACACACTCAGCTTCACAAAACACCCTTTTAATACGTCCATAAAATGAAACCCACTGTGAAGACTTTTCCATGTTTCTCCTTCATCCCTGTCACTGCTGAATCATGATGACAATGCTTCGTCTGCTCCTTTGCTTCATTTCACTTATCAGTGTGATATCAGACAATCCTTCTAGCCCAAAATCTTTTGTGTGGGCATCTGTTCTGTCACTTCCTGTTTTATTTTGAAATCTCTCTCATTTGGTCAGTACTGCTTCCACCCATTGTCTGTTTTCCTGCTTGTGCCACACCTGTGTTCAGAGAGGTGTTCTGCAAAGGAAGTTTTCCACTTCGACCCAAGTGTGCTCAGTGCTGCTGTTTGTTTGTTTCTAAGGTGATGGCTGGATCCATGGAAACATGAAAGCTTCCTGTCCCACAGCCTGATGAAGGAGGCGACAAGTCAGATCACAGGGAATGAATGTGATTGGTCAATCAGGTGGTCAGGTGTGTTCTGTGTTTGCCGGAGAGTGACAGACGCAGCAGGATCATTTTCTGCAACAGCACGTGATCACGTGTACATGTTGACATGAACATATTCACATGAAAACATGAACATAAACACGTGATCACATGAACACTGGAACACATGCAAAGGTCCAAAGATGCATTATTTATGCATTTATTACAGTCACATGACCTGTGAAGTGCCTGTTTTAATGTGAGCCGCTCAGAGCCTGCAGCAGAGAGCCCGGTTTATCAGAGACAGCTAATAACCACCGTGGCATAGCTGTTATCTCTGCTGGGCTTTTAGGATCCACGGATCCAGCTACGGCAGAGGAAGCCTGGATATTTTGAACCTCCTCTGTAGCCACGCCTCCTGAGAATGAGTGATAAATAAAAAAGCACACACAGCAAATTTCAGGGAGGTCTGTTGATCTTTGTTTTGTCCGACAGAAGAAAAACGTTCTTAAATGAT